TCTCGATCTCTTGACCTCGTGATCCACCCGCCTCGGCCTCCCAAAGTGCTGGGATTACAGGCTTGAGCCACCGCGCCCGGCCTAAAAATATTTTCATATATATCTTATATGTAAATATATAGAGCAGAAAAATTAGCCAGCAGACAGTTGGCAATTTCTGGAGATGTTTTTGGTTATCACAACTGGCTGTGGGTGGAGAGGTGGGATGTGCTGCTGACCTCTAGTGGGTAGAGGCTGGGAATACTGCTAAATATCCTACCTTACACAGGACAGGACCTACATCAAAAACCTATCCAGCTCTAAATGTCTTTTGTTTTTTGGTTGTTGTTGTTGTTTTTTATTTGAAACAGAGTGTGGCTCTGTCACCCAGGCTGGAGCACAGTGGTGCAGTCTTGACGCACTGCAGCCTCCGCCTCCCGGGTTCAAGCGATTCTCCTGCTTCAGCCTCCCAAGTAGCTGGGATTACAGGTGTGCACCACCACACCTGACTGATTTTTGTATTTTTAGTAGAAACAGAGTTTTACCATGTTGGCCAGGCTGGTCTCAAACTCCTAACCTCAAGTGATCCACTGGCATTGGCCTCCTAAAATGCTGAGATTACAGGTGTGAGCCACTGCCCCAAATGTAAATAGTGCTAAGATTAAGAAACCCTGACCTTGAGGAACTCCAATTCTCTTTTACCGTTGAAATCATAGGACACAGTCTGAACTTTACAGGATGCCAGGTACAAACCACCAAAACAAAAAGCACTTCATTTTTGTTTGCTTCTCATTTAATGTCCATCCTGAAAAAAAGACAGAGGAAAAAAAAGTTGCTAATAAAGCAACTGTGTAGGATGGATTCTGTGATTCCATTGAATACTACCAAGTGGTTTTTCTTCCCTTTTTTTTTTGAGATGGAGTCTCTCTCTGTCACCCAGACTAGAGTGCAGTGGTGCAATCTAGACTTACTGCAACCTCCACCTCCTGGATTCAAGCAATTCTCCTGTCTCAGCCTCCTGAATAGCTGGGACTACAGGCACATGCCACCATGCCCGGCTAATTTTTGTACTTTTAGTAGAGATGGGGTTTCATCATATTGGTCTCGCTGGTCTCAAACTCCTGACCTCAAGAGATCCACCCACCTCGGCCTCCCAAAGTGCAGGGATTACAAGCATGAGCCAACGTGCCCAGCCACAAGTGTTTTTTATCATAGGTTTCAAGAACATTCAAACTCACTATAATGACTTTGTTGAGGAATGATGAGAAAAAAAAAAAAGCCTTCTATACATTTAAAAAATTATTTCCCAGTGATAACAGATCTGGCCAGGTGAAGTGGCTCACACTTGTAATCCCAGGACTTTGGGAGGCCGAGGCAAGTGGATCTCTTGAGCCCAGGAGTTTGAGACCAGCCTGGGTGACATGGCAGAACCCCATCTCTACCCACCCCCCCAAAAAAAGCCAGGTATGGAGCACACATGTGTAATCCCCAACTACTCGGGAGGCTGAGGTGGAAGGATCATTTGAACCCGGAGATAAAGATTGCAGTGATCTGTGATTCTGCCACTGCACTCTAGCCAGGGTGACAGAATAAGTCCCTGTCTCAAAAAAAAAAAAAAGCTGGGGAGTGAAGAAAGAAGGAGGGAGAAACGGATATTTATATTCTAAAGAGAAAACCATCAAAATGGAAAGGAGAAATTAGACTCAACAATAGGAACAGAGTGACAGAGAGCCTTTGAGTATGTGAGATCCACCCTACAATTACTATTTTTTATTTTTAAAAAAACAAGGTCTTGCTTTGTCACCCAGGCAAGAGTGCAGTGGCCAGATCATAGCTCACTGTAACCTTGAGCTCCTGGACTCAGGAGATCTTCCAACCTCAGCTTTCCAAGTACCTGGGACTACAGGCATGTGCTACCATACCTGACTTACTTATTTGTTGAGATGAAGTCTTTCTGTGTCACCCAGGCTGAAGTGCAGTAGCATGATCTCTGCTCACTGAAACCTTTGCCTCACAGGTTCAAGCAGTTCTTCTGCCTCAGCCTCCTGAGTAGCTGGGATTACAAGCGTGTACCACCATGCCTGGCTAATTTTTGTATTTTTAGTAAAGACAGGCTTTCACCATGTTGGCCCGGCTGGTCTCGAACTCCTTACCTCACGTGATCCACCTGCCTCGGCCTCCGAAAATGCTGGGATTACAGGAGTGAGCCACCATGCCAGGCCTGTTTATTTTTTTTAGAGACAGGGGTTTTGCTGTGTACCCAGGCTGATCATGAACTCTCAGGCTCAAGCAATTCTTCTACCTGGGCCTCCCAAAGTGCTGGAATTATAGGCAGGAGCCACTGTTCCTGGCCTCCACCCTATAATTAAAAGCAAAGCATGGGTCAGTATGTTAAGTGAAACATGCCAGGCTCAGAAAGATATATACTGCATGTTCTCACTCACATATAGGAACTAAAAAAGTTGATCTCATAGAAGTAGGGTAGAATCATAGTTACCAGAGGGCCTGGGAAGGGTAGTGGGGTGTGGAGAGATGAAAAGAACTTGTTTAATGGGTATAAACTTAAAATTAGAAGGAATAAGTTCTAGTGTTTGATAGTTTAGTAGAGTAACTAGAGTTAACAGTATTTTATTGTATATTTCAAAATAGCTAGAAGATTTGAAATGTTTCCAACACAAAAAAATGATAAATGTTGTAATAGATATCCTAGATACTCTGATCATTACACATTGTCTGCATATACCAAAATCACATGTATTTCATAAATTTTTTTCTTAAATCTTTTTTTTTTTTTTTTTTTTTTTTTTTTTTTTATTTATTTATTTTTAATTTATTTATTTTTTTTTTTTTGAGACGGAGATTTGCTCTCGTTGCCCGGGCTGGAGAGCAGTGGCGCTATCTCGGCTCACTGCAACCTCCGCCTCCCGGGTTCAACCAACTTTCCTGCATCAGCCTCCCAAGTAACTGGGATTACAGGCATGCACCACCACAACGGGATAATTTTTTTTCTAAGTGGAGATGGGCTTTCGCCGTGATGGCTAGGCTGGTCTCGAACTCCTGACCTCATGTGATCCACCTGCCTAGGCCTCCCAAAATGCTGGGATTACAGGCGTGAGCCACCACGCCTGGCTAACATCTCCATCTTTTTAGAGTAAGTCACTGGTGCTTCATTTTGTCCTTTTGGTGAGGTATTTTTCTGATCTCGATTCTGCCATGCATTAGTGTGTGCACATTTGAAGAACTAGCTACTTATTCAGTCTTTGAAGACTTGATTATCTGAAAACACCCTTTGTCAATCAGCCTGTCCAGAAATTCTGGGCAGGCCACCTGTTGTGGCCAATGGGTGAGCTTGCTACCTAAGTCCTCAGGTTGGCTGATCTAGTGCCTGGATGAGTAGGCAGGCAGGGCCGAAGGCTGGATCCACTAGGATAGACCTGTTGACTGGATCTGCTGGGGTGGACCTAGAACCTGTGTCCCTGGTGGTGAGCCTGAATCCCAGGTCTACAAGAGCTGACTTAACACTGGAGTGGGCCCTGAGCCTGTGTCTGCAGGGACCAGCCAGGTAGTGACATAGGCCTGGAGTCTGTGTCTTCTGGAACCTAAGTCCACAGGAGTGAACCTATGTCCTGAGTTCACAGAGGCTGGCTTAGAGCCTGGATCTGCAGCAATTATCACTGGATCCTCAGTCCACAGAGGCTGGCCTGGCTCCAGGGTCTACTGGGGTGGCCTGGACCCCAGCTCCACTGGAGCCTAGGATTATATGTACTTTGCAGGTAGTTGGATCCACAGGGGCTGGCCTGAAGCCTAGTTATACAGGAGTTGGCCTGAAGGTTAAGGGTGTGTGTGTGTGCTACTTCGGAGACTAAGTCTTTAAGGTCTAAGGATGTTGGCCTGGTGCCTGAGGCTAGATGTGCTAACTTGGCTCTAGGGTGGGCCTGAAGCCTGGAGCTGCAGAGGCAGGCCTGGGACCGTGGGCTAGCAGGGTCAGCCTGACCCTGGGGTGTGGCTGGAGACTGAGTCTGTAGGGCCTGGACTGGTGCTGGGGTGAGCTTGAAGCCCTGTGCCACTGGTGCTGGCCTGGTGCTGGGGTGGGCTCAGAGGGCAGAGACTGAGTCACTGGCTTGGAATCTGGGGATGCAGGATCCAGCCTGGGGCCAGGCAGACTTGAAGGCTCATACCTCAGGTACTGGCCT